CCAGCTCGCCGCCCGGCGAGCGCGGCAAGGGCGCGTCGGCGTCGCCCAGCGAGCTGTGCTCGCTCTGCTCGAAGAAGCCGTCGTCGTCGTCGCTGTCGTCGAGCCGCGAGCTGAGCCGCGCCGCGGCGCGCGCCTCCTCCAGCGCCCGCGCCGCCTCCGCGTCGCTCCAGCCCGCGAAACCTGCCGAGGCCGGGCCGGTCGTCCTTTCGTTGCCGCTCGGCGGCACTTCCCCGGACGAACTCTTTCGCGAGGCTTCTTAGTCGTCCGTCGGAACGACAATGTGACGAGACGATTGCGGGTAATAACGACGAAACCTGCACGCTAGCGCAGCCGAATGACGCATTCGATGGCTGCCGGTGATCCCTGTTGTCTTTATTGTCAAACCGAAAGAATTCCTCGCACACTTAGGACATAATGTACAGTTGACTGAATACGAACAATTTACACATCGTGGGGAACAGCGTGGCTACGCGTAACTAGCGTTGAATTATGAAGTTCTATTTCGTTGATTTAATGGCCAAATCGGACCCGCATAAACGTCGTTTACGAGAACCTATCGTTATCAGTCCGTAGACGACGTAAATTAATGCCACTGTGCGAAAATGAAAATCTTAGTCGTCGAAATAATAAAATAATAACGTTAAATCCCTCGCCTGTAAAACTTTGGGCTAGTGGAGTTACGCACCGTTTACGGATTCCCACCACTCCCGACGACGTCTAAAACAATGACTTCATTCACCGCACAGTGCACGCTTCGCTCGCGAATCTTGGAATTCCTCCCGCGGAAACACCCCGACCGCTGGCGCGCCCCGTGCCGAAAGAAACGGAGCGTGTCTCACCGCTGGCGTCGAGGCACGAGAACTCGAAGCCGCGGAAGCGCGCCAGGCGCTCGTGCGCGCGCAGGCGCCGGCGCAGCTGCAGCAGGCGCCGGGCGCGGCCCGCCAGCACGCGGCGCAGCCACGCCGCCTCCACGCCGAACTCCCGGCGCGGCCGCGGCCGCCGCAGCGCTGCCGGCACTCGTTCGTCACTCGCTCGGGCGCGGACGTGCGCGGACTTGCGCGGACTTACGCGGAACGGCGCCCACCTTCGATCGCGACCAGCTGGAACTTGCCCCCGGCGGCCGGCTCCGCGCCGGCGGCGGCCTTGCGCTTGCGCTCCCTCTTGGGCGGCGGCGGCGGCATCTCGGCGACGGGCAGCGGCGTGCTGCTGGCCACGGGCGCCTCGCGCGGCGGCGACTCGTCGTGCGACAGCGGCGGCGGCGACGGCGGCGCGTTGGCCTCGATGGCCGCCTGCAGCTCCAGCAGCGGGATGGGCCGCAGCGAGGAGCCGCTCGTCGCCGCGCACCCCTCCAGCTCGTCCACCAGCAGCCCGTCCTGCAAAGCGAAGCGCGGACTCGGACGCCGCCGCCGAGAGGGTCGCGGCGGACGCGTCGGCCGACAGGACGCACCCGAAGACGCCAGGCCACGTGGAAATCGGACAGCAGCCCCACGGGCTCGTCGGCGTAGTCGGTGAGCGGGACGTCGGCGTCGGCCAGCTGCCGCGGCTCCAGCTCGATGTACATCCGCGGCAGCGTGGGCGGCGGCCGCGGCGCCTCCGCCTCGCGCCGCGCCGCCGCGGCCGGCTCCAGCTGGATGAGCGCGAAGTCGCCGGCGCCCGCCGACGCGTTCCCCCGCCTGCGCGCCGCGGCGGTCGCGGGCGAAGGCGCTTCCGCCGCGGCCGCCACTCGTGCCGGCGCCGCTTCCTCCTCGCGGTGCGTGTTACTTATCTCTCTGAAAGCGTCGCAATTCCGATTCACCCGAACGATGTCAACTCTTCGCTGCGGCGAGGAGCCTCGGCCGGAGTACTGACATCGTGCTGTTGTACAACGAGTCTCTGACGAAGAGCACGTTCTGGTAGAGAAAGTTGACCTTGCGGCCGTAGATATTGGCAGACTGCTGCAGGAGCAGCGCCAACTCGGCGAAATTGACGGGCGCCGCATCTGCACCGTGTTCGTTCTCCTCCGCGTCCAACGCGTGCAGCCCCGCCTCCGTCAGGTACTCCTCCAACAACTGCGGACAATCGCCGATCTGCTTAGTCCTCTGTATTGTTCATATTGGGACATTTTCTAAAAAATACAATTTAGGGTGCAGTAAATTTACTTCTGGCGTCTCTTCTGTAGAACAATGCAGATTTGACTGCTTGAATTTAGTTTGTAGTAATTGGCAATAACTGTTCTTTCTGTATTTTACTTACACAAATTTTTTGTTGGTAAATCCAACAAAAATTTGGTTGGATTTGATTCGAGTTGGACAAGAGTTATTTTCAGTTTTCAAGTCAAGTTTCAGAGTCAAATAAAATAAAATTTATATGGGCAAGTATATGGTATCATTTAATGTGTTGTGGAATATACCTGTTTATTTATTTTAATAATATTTAGTCACTGAAACAGTATTTTTCAAATGTTATGACATTTTCGGTAAATTCTTTCGGTAAATTAACTCTCCAATTACGATCACTGGTTATGAAACCAGTGATCGTAATTGAGGGAGTTACTTTACCGAACGTAGGAATATTTACTTAGTATGGACGTACACATTTCATGATAATATGACCAAAAAATCCCGGAATTCATATTACAATATCTGTGTTTATTTTCCAAACATTCCAAAATATAGGTTGTCTCATCATCATCAGCAGCCTATCGTAGGCCACTGTTGGACATAGTTGGATGGTTTTGTGACGAACAACACGGTTTTTTGCCGCAACGCTCAACTACGTCCAATCTTCTGAATCTAACTACCTTAATTGGTTTAAAAATGGATCAGAATACTCAAGTTGATATTGCCTATTTCGACTTCCGAAAAGCTTTTGATCGGGTCAACATTGACCAATTACTTATAAAAATGGGTGTTGCGGGATTTACTATTCAGTTAATGAAATTCTTCTGTGCGTATTTTCAAGATAGAAAGCAGTACGTTGAATACGAAAACTTTAAATTTTCCCCTTATACAGTTGCTTCTGGTATAGGGCCAGATAGCAGTCTCGACCCTCTCCTTTTTTTACTACTTGTGAATGACCTTCCAACATCAGTAAAATCGTCTGTCTGCCTTATGTTTGCTGACGATGTCAAATTCGCTTTGCCGGAGAAGTGAACCGAATTTTGATCTACTCCAAGCTGATATTAACAGCATTTTCGCTTGGAGCCGGGACAACAGCTTGGAGATGAATGTTGAAAAGTGTTCAGAGATCCAATCCTCATTGAGTACAGCGTCGGTGGCACGACCCTGAACCGTGTGAAATCTATTCGTGATTTGGGAGTAAGATTCGATTCTGAACTCAAATTTAACGACCATGTTATTGATATCTGTAATAGTGCTTGGAAAAGTCTTGGCTTCATCAAGCGGCAATCTAAGTTTTTTGACTATCGACAGGCAATTTGTAATTTGTATTGCAATTTGTTGCACGTAGCTTCCAATTTACTTCGCACATAGGCGTTCCTTTGTTCGAAGTAAATTGGAAGCTACGTGTGCAGTGTGGGATGCCCACAATAAACGCTATATAGCAATGTTGGAACGAATCCAGAAATCATTTTTGAGATATTTGTATAGTAAACTTGGATGGGTACTTGGGGACTTAAATGGGTACTATTATTTTGGGCATGGTACCGTACAGATCGCTTGAGATCAGGCGAAAACCGGCGCTTCTAAAATATATTTTTAACCTAATAAGAGGATATATAATTAACCCTCCTCTATTGGCTCAAATTCCTTTTTTTATCCCGCCAATCTCACGTTACTTCCTTCGTCAGCGCAAATACCCTCTATTCAACTTTCATTTAACCCGCACAGTGACACTAACACGGACACCATTCTTCGAAGCCCTAGCCGTAATTGAATCGTTAAGCAAAAGAAATGATATTGACGTGTTCAGCAACACTGAATCAAAATTTCTAACATCCACTGGTTACTATTTGGAGGCGGTCACCGCCCAAAATTCTATGGTCCAAATTCCGCATCCTATCTTTCGCCGGTGATCGACTCAACCTTTTTTGTGACTATGACTTACATGTTTAGTTATAAGTACTGTAAGTGTAAGTTGTACAAAATAAATAAATAAATAAGCCTCTCCCAATGCGCGCTATTTCGCCCAGTCCTCAGCTCGTTGCATCCATCTGCTGCCAGCAAACCCTTCGCGAAACGTCAGTCCATCTGGCCAGAGGGCATCCTACACAACGCTCACCGAGCCGTGGTCTCTACTCATGAACTCGCTTCTCCCATCGGCTATCGGTTCTTCGACATTATACGGTTGTCTCAGGTTTATTTTTAAATGGCGAAAGTATTTAAATACTAAGTACTTATTAAAACACAATTGTTTTTTTTTTATAAAAAAATAAGTGCGCATTTGACCTCACCTGATGGAAAGTGATAATGAGGTCGAGGATGTAGCATGCACACCTAAATAATGCCTATTCACTCTCGCCTCTCCAAGTTACAGCGTTCGGGGAACAAATCTGCAGGCAGGGAATTTCACTCTCTAGCCGCTCGCCATGCAAATGTAGAAGCGAAACGCTTTGTGCGAATTCGGCGAATATCCACAACATAGGGGTGGAACCCCTGCTCACGTCTAGTCTCCCGATGATGGAAAGGGGAAGGCGGAATCAAATTATGCAATTCCTTCGCACACTCTCCATGATATATCCTGTAGAATACCTATAAGCTGGCAACTCTACGGCGGTGTTCAAGGCTCTGCAGCTTCGCCACTACTAATTCCGAGTCACCTATGGGTGAATTTCACTTTCCGAATTCCCATGGCACTTTTTGAGTGATTTTTGTGAAACCCTTTTTTCTTTTGGTTTTAAGATCTTAAATGTACAAATAAGTTCAAGCAATGTCAATAATTATAAAATCACAGAAATATTTAAGTTAAATACAGCAAAAAACGACATTTTAGGTGACGCGAATGAAATTGCAGTAACACGAATGATTTTCTCATAAAGATATGAGAAAGATGGCACAGTAATGAGAAATTATTATTACAACACACATTTTATCGTTCACAAAAGAACATTTAACATGTAACAAATATTTTGATATAACTTCTTGTATCAAAATCCTTCTCATCCATGTAAGATCATCTATCTATCTATGTAACTAATAAATAAATCTAAAAAAGTATTTTGTTAATGTCATATAAACTTTCTTGTACTCATGCCAGCACATCAAGCTACACATTGACGTATCTTGTTCCATTGCAATGGAGGCAATTTTCACATCATCATCACAATCATCGTCATCATCACCACCATCATCATCGTCACCACCGTCATCACCACCACTATCACCATCTAATTGTTAAATTTCAAGTAAATGTTTGGCTTAAAGTAACTATTTGATGTAAAAGTACACAAGAATGAAAGCGACAATAATGATATTTGGATACATTTTTAATTGTCAAGTGATTAAAATACGCTGGACCGTTAAAAGTGTATGGATTTTAAAGTTCCCTTTGTCTGATTGATGTACAATAAAGTTTATTACTTAATACTACTTAAAGTTTATTACTTAATATTACTTATTACTTAATACTATTACTTAATACTTATTTAGACAGATTGCTTTATATGAATGAGAACATTTTAGTCACTAGTGCTGAAATTGGTATTTAAGTCGATTTTTTGCTAAAACGGAGATGCACAGGTTACTTCACTGTGTACATTCCAATCCAACAGGAGCCCCTTCTCACGTGTGCGAAGGGTGAAGGTGATGCGGTATGAACTTTTGTTATTAGGAGGCTTTTAGTTGAATTGACACTAATGATAAGGAAAATTGAAACACATTTTGTATTCCCAAGAAAACATGTTTGTTTATAATAAATTGGAAAGTGACGGTATGTATTCGACGGTTATTAGAGTTTATCCTCGATGGGAAATGTTGCGATTTCCTCGAGTGTTTAATTTTTTTTCTTCTTTTCTTAAAATTAGGGCGACGTAGAACCGGCTCCGATGAATGAGAAAATGCCCATTTTTTAACCGACTTCAAAAAAGGAGGAGGTTCTCAATTCGACTGTATGTTCTTTTTTTTTTTGTATATATGTTACGCGATAACTCATTTGTGAACCGATTTTCATGATTCTTTTTTTGTTGGAAAGGGGTTACTTCCATAGTGGTCCCATTTCGTTTTGAAGAAAATCATCCACCTCGAAGGGTGGCTGTTCACGCATGAAGATTCATTTTTATAAATAGCGCCTAACTTTAATTTAGGAGCAATTACTTTAATGCTTGATTTTACTATTTCTTCAATTCAAGGCGTTTTCTCTCAATATACTTTGAGTAGTTTCATATCATTGCAGCCAAGCTTCTTGGCTGCAATTTTGGCCATGGATTCTATGTATCTGCCGAAGTTCAGATTGGACGACAGGTCCATTCTAAGTAGATGAAGACGGTCGGCTATCGGTATGGATATATCACGAAAAGTCGGAGTCAGGTGAAAGGGACTCTGTTTAGTGGAGAAAAGACACGCCTGCGTTTTGGTAGCATTAAATTTGACAAGATTGGCATCGCCCCAATTGGAGACTGCCTTAATTGTCAAATTCAAACGACCAACCATGGACTCTTGACAAGACTGGATTTCTTCTCCACTTGCATTGGTCAAGTACCTGTCCACAACTGTGCTGTCACCAGCATATCCAAAGGTACCTGGAATCAACATATCGTTTATATGCAGCAGAAAAAGGGTTGCGGACAGTACAGAACCCTGAGGCATCTATCGAACGATGTTCGGAAGAGCAGCCTTCTAAGACCACTGGAATCGAACATTTACTCAAGAAATCCGAAATCAAATTGCAAAGATCAGTGAGAAGCCCATAAGAGGGAAGCTTGCTTAAAAGGCTTGCATGCCAGACCCTGCCTTAGAAATGTCTAAAGACATTGTAATGGCCGTGCCCTTCTATAGCCTCGCTTCATAAGTGAGAGGCATACACAAGAAGATCCCCTGTAGATCGCCGTCTTCGGAATCCGTACTGGCGATCACGGAGGAGATTGTAGTCTTCAAAGTATGACAGGAGATTGTTGTTAAGTACACGTTCCATAGTCTTGCAGAGTATGGAAGTGACTGAGATAGGTCTATAGTTGACAGGGTCAGCACTGCTTCCTTTTTTAGGCACTGGTAGCACATTTGGAAGCTTCCACGACCTGGGAACTACACCAGTCTCAAGTGAGAGAGAAGCAATACAGGCATGTGAAAATAGGAGACAACTCAGGCGCACAGTTACGCAGGACTATTGTTGGAATTCCATCTGACCCGCTAGCTTTATGCACACACAGAGTTTTTAGTACCTCTTTTTGGCGTATGCGAACTGGCGCATATGGCGAATATTTAAATATATTTTTGTTATTAATTCCGAGAAGTCGCAGATTTGTAGAATGGAATGTCCACATTATTCTTTAGGTTAGCTTAATACAAACCTATAAAGTTCTTATGTTTTTGCAATGGCTACATATTGGAAATTCAACATTTTTGTATAGTATATTTTTGTTTTTATTTTTGTATACTATATTTTTGTTTTGGGGTAACTCAACTGAGTGTAAAAAATTGTTCACAGTTCAAAAAAAGTGTGTTCGAGCAATGACCGGTGTTTCCCCACAATCTTCAATCAATTTGGAATCTTGTGCACCTTTGTTTATAGAATTGGGAATTTTGCCGTTAGCATGTATGTACATTTTTGGAGTGGCATGGTTTGTTAAGCAAAATCTAAACCTTTTTAAAAAAATTACAGATGTACATAGTAGAGGTGTAAGGGACCCAAATAGACTAGTGTATAATAATAAACCTAGATTGTGTTATTATAAAAAACAATGTAACAGTATGTGTGTCCGAATTTATAATGCTCTACCAAAAGACATTCAAACGTTACCAAATAATTTGTTCAGAAACAGACTTAGTGAATGGCTTAGAGACAAAAATTATTACAAAGTGTCTGATCTTTTAGATAAATGTTGACATGAAATCAGTGCTTAATGTATATACATGTACAATGTAATAATGATGTACAAATATTTTATAGTTTGACATAGAAGGTTATTATTTTGCTGTTTTTAATTGACTGATTATTCTTTGTTTCTTATTGGATGTCGACATGAAATTATAAGGTATATTTATGTTTAATGTAATCATGATGTATGACATTTAATAATTTGACATTGATAGTTTATTATTCTGTTGTTATTAATTAATTAATTAATTGATTATTATTATTATTATTCCTAGTACACGTCCGATGATAATGCTATAATTAAACTAAATTTAGGCAACATTTTGCAGTCAGGTAAAACATGTGTTCTGTAATAATTGTTCCATCTTTCACACCATGTTTTAAGCAAATGAAATTTCATTTCATAAATCTAAATCACATACATTTGTTATTTAAACCATATCAGTTGAAGTCAGCCATGACCATAGGACCTGTAGAGCCTGAAATGTTGGTTTGTTTTGAAAAAACAAAAATACACAATTGAGATCCAAAATATTGTTCAAAGCTTTATAAAATTCTGTGTTGGTTTTGAGTATTATGAACAATTAGGTAGACATTAATTAAATTAGTGAATTTCATATAATAATATATTATTGGTTAAAAAACATCCCCATTTTGTATAAATTTCTGAAGTAATGTCGTCCTGGCCACATTGGCTAACAACAGTATGTTATTGACACAGTTGCCTGTAGACAGCATTTTCAAGTTAACTTTTCTTAGCAGGTCACTACCCTCTCCAGCCAACAAATATGCATTATTTACACTACTTCACATAGGCACATTTTTATATTATTTTTGGAATTGCATCTATCTAAACCCATTTAACAACTATGTACCTAATTATGTGGAAGTACACAACATTGCTCATAAGTCATAATGTAATGATGTGAGTATGCTGGCCATATTTTTTAACAATCCACCGACCTTTGCAACAGGACCAACACAATTGGCATAAATTGTCATAACAGTCTTCTTTGATAAAGCTTTGAAGTTGAATTTGCTATTTATGTAATTCTTTTTTCATTGACTTATTTCAAGTTCATAGAAGCATAAAAATCAAACCATACTTATAGCCACTTACACTGCATCTTTACATACACCAATATCAATATTTTGACCAATGATTGGGATTAGATCTATTGAATGGAATTAGACGAGTAGGACAGATTGTTGAGCATCGCGTGTGACTTGGAGGCCGCAGGATAGTTTGGAGCGCCGCGCGCTAGAGAGCTGATTTCTTTGGTGGTTTGTTTTGGTCCCAGAGGCGCGTAAAAGCAGGCGGCGAAAACTTACCGCGCTTAGGTCGGTGTCGAAGCTGTGGCGGACGTCGCTGATGGGGCGCATCAGCTCCGCCACGATTTCTTCCAATCGTTGCGAGTTCATGCTCCACCGTGTCTCGCGCCTCGCAGAAATTCTTGCCCTGCAAAAGGCGTGCGTTCTTTTGTATCATCACTGGACGCGACGCGGGCACAGCTATAACTAAGTAGACACTTTCAGTGGCGCGAAACTTTCTGTCAACGACCCAGTTTCAGATTTGCGAATCTGAATCGCGGAATGAACTTCTACAAGTTAGTTTTCACAATTATTAACTTGATCTAATCTCACCTTCGCTTTTGCTCAAAGTCAGCGTCCATTTTAGAAACATAAAATCGTGCTAGGAAGAACGTAATAACAACGGTGGCCATTTATTTATGTTTTCAAGAGAGACATTTCCACATTCGCCATAGTTCGTGTCAAGAGTTGCGTTCGCGAACGTGTACGATTGTTGTGCAACTTTCATAATCTTTATGGTTTGGTGTTGGTTACGTGCAATGAAAAATTAATTTAAAATTTTATAAATATATAATTTTACTTAAGTTGAAATGTGATCAAAATTAAACACTTTTATTTTATGTTTGATATATATTTTATATTTACAGTCTGACAACAAGGAAGACGTTTGATTAAGGCAAGATTTCAATAGAGTTCCAATGCCTACCCATACCAGTTACTAGTGTAACAATATTACTTTTATTATTATGGCAATACTGCACACGACGATTTTAAAATAAGTATAGAATAGGGATTCGCTCTGGACCTTTTGGAGGGAAAAGTGTCGTTTTTATTTTGACTTTCAATTATTTTGTGAAATCTAGTTTAAAGTGGAATAGGATAGTGCTATTGTGCCTTAATCGAAGATTAAAACGCGAAATTATACGAATACGAACTAAAATACTCGTATCGGCCCGTTCCAAGGAATCCCGAGTCAATCCAAGCACGCCGCCTCAAATTGCCTATCCTCTTTGTGGCGGTATTTACAGAAACATAATTCAACTTCATGTACAAAAAAATAATAATGTACCAAGACTTGGCTGTATGGTGTAAAACCTTTGCCTTTTCCTTTATGGAAAGAAGAAAAAAAAAGTATAAAATAGGCGGGAGACAAATTAAAAACCAACACTACTATGTCTCCACTATATTGAACATTTCAGTGAATTCTAAAATCACGAAATTTTAATAATACATCTAATAACATACATATATATATATATATATATATATAAATATAATCTTAATAATATGCTCCGGAATCTTATTGTAAAAACGTATACAGTTCCTCATAAAAGAGTCATTTACCTTGGTTATACAAAATCGTGGTACAGGTGGTATAATCGTGTACCATGAGTTTGGACTTAGCTCTAAAGTGAATATTATGGATATCTTCTTTCTTATTGAAATTATGTATATTTTTACGGGCATAATAAAATAACAAAATATTTGAGTAAATATACTGTGATGCCATTGTCATACCAGTCTCCTTAAACTTTTCCCTGAGAGAAATCGGAGATCCTAAACGCTACACAGAACGAATCACTCGTTTTTGCAATACAAATAAAGTAAACTAGTTTAGCAGTATTGACATACGTAAGCTCACGTATTCTACGGACTGCGTTTGCAGCGGAGCTTAATCTGCTGGCCAGGGAAGATATATGTTATCACCTTTTTAAAACAGAGCCGTGAAAAAAAAGAAAATAATTCATGTCAACCACAGACTAATGTCAACCATTTCAGACAAAAGCAAAATCCTTCTTTGACACGTCTGACCAAGATGCCGTTATATTTGTTTAATAAAAACGTGTATCACATTTTGCAACTGTAAACAACAGAAACTAGATATGATCAACGACTGTTCCAGCCTGGCATTGATACCTCAAAATGTGCAGGAAGTCAAAATAAAGAGCAACATTCCTAATAATTGTCAAAAATCGATGATGTAGAATTTTACATGGTATATTGTCAAGAGTAAATTTTTTTAAATGTTTATTTTCACGGCATCGGAATAATATGCTTGACACTCAAGATTTAAATTCAACTCTATCTTACGACAAGACCCATCCGAAGTCTAAAGTGAAGCTTCATGTGATCTTGATTGTATGTACAATAGTAATTAGTAGCAGTAGAGCTCCTTGTGAAAGGGTTCGTCCAGGGCAGTATTGCCACCTTACCTATTTCTGCCGCCAAGCAGGCGCCAAGTCACTCAGGCTTTAAATCTTTTCGATTTAAAGTCTGAGTGGCACAGCAACTGTGTAGCCTACCTACTGGACAAGCGTGTAGCTTACCATCAGGCGCACGATTTGTTCGTCATATACATATTATATAATAAATTACTAACCTGATTGTAACTTGATTGTATCATTAGGAGCATTCTGTGGATAGACACAGAATCTAATTACAAAAGAGTCGTCGTGATTACGTAGATGCTGTCACTTTATATAAAATTTATTACATACATATGTATATATAATATTTATAGTAAATTAGATTCGACACCTCTATTGAATCTTATACATTTCAGAGTACCCCGTCAAATTGAAAGACCTTGTCGTAGGAATATAGTTTTCTCAATGAACAAGTCGCGGAAATATTTCGTTGGCAATAGCTTTGTTAGGCGATCATGTCAGACATACAACAGCAAGTTTATGGATGTGGATATTTTCTGTAATTCGTTATCAAAATTTAAAACTAAAATTAAAGTCTTACTATAATAAAATTGTTCTATACTGATAATCTTCAAAATTTCTACTACTTTATAAATTACGGAACCTCTAGGTCTACGTTATATCTTCGTTAATATAATAATAGTTTTATATTGTCTGTTTGTTTCTTGAATAAATAAATAAAATTAACTACAGGTAAAATGCCGGTCTGACAAAGTTCAGGCTAATCTTGATTTTGAGTTATTAATCAAAGATTTTGGAAAAAATCTTGAATAACCGGCTAACAATAATTGCACCTAAACAATATGGTTTCAGAACTGGAATATTTGACGACCTTCGTGGTCGAGTGGCTTGCATACTGGTTTGCATGGTGTCATCTTCTCTGAGGGCCCTGGCTCTGTAAAAGCTAACTATCAAACTAACAAAATAAACTCTTACTACAGCAGCAATGAGGTTCTTTCTTTTGAGATGCCACAAGGAAGTATCCTATCATTATACATTTTTTAATCCATTTTGTATTTAATTTTAGGAATAAACATATTAACATATACCTATAATACAAATGGTAAAGGATTAATGTAACGTTTTTCTGAAATTACCTCTGAAAAGGACGAAATGGGGTATCAAAATTGTATGGGAACTTTTTAACGCGTGGTGCGTTTTGCTTTAAACTTGGTAAGGAAGTATCCTTATTTAAAGTATTAAATACGAAATAAATAACGACGTAATTCACGGGTTTTCAAAGTAAACCCCTAAAAAGAGGTAAGTTAGAGCACCAAATTGAAAAAAAATTGAATAATCGTATTCCTTGAAGTTACTATACTGAAATTACTGAAGTTACTATACTTTATAATGAAAAAAAGGTAAAAATCTTAACTTAACATTTTTCAAAACAATATTTATAAAAATAACGTGTTGCGATTTGCTTTAAGCTTGGTTTAGATACCTTAAATACAAAATAAATAAGTTTCAGGGGTTTTCAAAACATCCCTAAAGAATATTTTAACTTACTCCAAGTTAGAATAGGATCATAGAATCAAAATATTTAGTTTGATAAAACCTTTTCCTTTTTACGCCATCTATTTAAATACCAATAAATTAAAATGCTTAATGTTTCCAGAAATGTAGTTTATAAAGGGGTTTTGAACTAAGGGCGATGGCACCCAATGGTTAGTAGCTTTAGTGCGCCTATACTGACTGAACCTTGACTGAACCATTAAATAATATAGTGACATTCCGTGCACCGTGCATAATAGGTATGACAATCAAGACTACACCGGCAGTAACGAATTATACTATCGGTTAACACAAGTAACATGTTTTAACATTAGCGCGTAATTTATTTATTCAGGATGAATGCGTTCTAGGTAATGTAATATTTTAAGACTTTGTGTAATTATATTCCAACTTAGATATTCAAACCTATAGCTAAGCCCACTGTTTGCTAATTATACGAAAAATTTTAAATTGGAAAAAAAATAAAAATATATCTGGTAGGTCAATTTGACACGAATGCCCATTTATTATGTTCTTCATTTAGAAATATCTTTGAAGTTTTATTTAGAGTGAATTATAAAATAAAATTGTATAGATAAAATAAAGTTATAGAAAAAGAGATTTACGGTTTAAAATGAATGGACTACAGCGAAAAAAACCTTTTTTTTTAATGGCTTGTTGAAGCCAATAAAAAGGGTTTTTCGCTGTTCGTTCGTATTCGTATTTTCGTTCAGTAACTTCAACTTTTACAAATGTCAACGTCAAATTTTTATGTGGAGAAAAAAAATAAAGGGGAAAAACTTAAACTATGGAAACTAAAGAACATGTTATATTGACATATATAAAACAGACGTTATATATATATGATATATTTCGAAGTCGAAAACATAAACATGTTATTGTCTTTGTTTAACTATTGCGTGCCGTCTTAAGCCAAAAGAGATAGCATTACATTGGTTTGTGTTAAACACGGGAATCGAAAATACGCAATGTCATCTTAAATGCCAACCGTGTCCATTTCGCAGTACATGAGGTACATGATACGGTTGTCAAAGGGAAGTACATCAAATGCGAAACAAATGTTTTTCCATGTGTTTTATTGAATTATTCGCATGTATTGTAATAAAATAGACCAAAATATTGACAGTGAGAACAATTAAGCTTTGGAGAATTTATCGCTCCCCTAACGAACAATAAAACGGTCTCGTAAACTTCATGAATGGCGATATAATTATAATGTTTCGTGGTTTTTACAAATAGTTTTTTATCAAACAGGGCAAAAAAATTTGCAATCGCTGACATGACAATTTACATAACTAAATACTGTCAAACATTTTCGGCAAGTGTGACACTCTCCTTGGCGACTCTTGTCCAAAGAGACTGCCTCAGCCAGCCGGTGATAATAGGCGGCGTCTAAAGCCGCCACACCACCCCCCACGGAGTGAAGAAACCGAACTTAAAAACAAAAATTAGCCTATTGAACAAAATCTCTAAAATCTTTAAAACGCACATGCCTTCCTGACCGGGTCATGTACGGAGTGCCGGGCGAGGAGGTGGTTGGTTTGTCTGAAGGAACTGAAGACGGCAACTGCGGCGGGACTGTAGGCTACAGTCCCGCCGTCCCGTGCTAGGCATCCCGTGGCTACAGTCTGTAGCCAGGGGATACCTAGTCGGTGGCACAGCAGGTGGGGGTCGGAAGCCATCGGTAACAT